TACCCAACCGCCAGTACGCTATGTCGTTAAAAATTTATTAAAAATTTGGTTAACACATTTTTGGTTTTGTAATTTGTAGCAGAATGAGATGTGATTCCCAGCGATTGCCACATTATTCTCAGAGATTGCCAATGGATTCCAATGCGATTTCCATGAATTCCTATATGTGATTACTAGCGATTTTCAGGGATTCCCAAGCGATTCCCTTGTATTGCTTATTGATTGCCATGCAATTCCCAAAAAAATGTATGTACAATGATTTCTACTAGTCGTTTACCCCTCGGGATATATGTATATTATCTCAGAATTGGGGCTACAGGCTAAATGTACTTCGGATTGTTCTACAGCATATTCTTTTCTCCACTAAGTCGAAGTAGTTCGGGCAATCCGGGCAGCGATTTTACTAAATATAAACTATTACAGCACAAGACACGCCTCCAACTTCGTCATTGCAAAATATAATTGGCCTTAGCGCGATTTTACTAAATATAAACTATTAGAGCACAAGAGACGTTAGCATTGCAAAATATAATCGAGCTCAGCACAATCCTGCAAAATCTAATCGTTGACAGCACAACGTGTCTGATTCATATAAATGGGGCGCCCACTTTGAATTCTCTTTTCTCCCATTTTAACATTTTGTATCTTCCTTCTACTAGGAGCAGTTGGCTGAACTTTTATTAGTTTTCCTTTTTTTTATTTATTTATTTATAATTATTAAACCTGTTGTGATGGCACATGTATTGTTTACGAAATAATAATCTCTGCAGTTTTGGCAAAGTTTTCTCCACTATCCATTGTGTCTTTGTTATTATTGAAAATTCATTCACCCACTCATTGCAACGCAAGTTAAAGTCGTCGGAATTGTTCTTCGTCAGATTTCCCTTTTAACTTTAAGCGGAGTACTATATGTAATTGTTTTGATTTTCATACTCGATTATATTAACATTTCCATTGTTACACAATGGATTAATAAGTTGAATTAAATTATCCATAATGAAAACACACAACACTAACAATAATAATTACCTTCTAACAACAAGTACAATTTGAGGTACAAACGATTATAGTCAACCACCCAAGGACCTTTTTTTTCAGTTATACATGTAAACCCCATACATTGTGAGTGGCTTGCTTACATCAAGTCCTACAACTTTTCCTCTACGACTTTCCTCGGAAATGGCACGTATGCGCGCAGGCGACTCGCAAACATTTTAGGGGTATCGGACTCCCCCAATTTGCCATTATTTTTGTCGGCCAAGTTGATTTCCGTGATTTAGAAATAAACATCAAACATTATTCGTGAAATTAGATTTTCATGTATCAAGAAACATAACCACGTCAGATCGACATTTTGGGGGTATCGGACTCCCCCAATTTGCCATTATTTTTGTCGGCCAAGTTGATTTCCGTGATTTAGACATAAAAATCAAACAGTATTCGTAAAATTAGATTTACCTACATGTATCAGGAAACATAGCTACGTCAGATCGACATGTTTGCGAGTCGCCTGCGCGCATACGTGCTATTTCCGAGAAAAGTCGTAGAGGAAAAGTTGTAGGACTTGATGTAAGCAAGCCACTCACAAAGTATGGGGTTTACATGTATAACTGAAAAAAAAGGTCCTTGGATGGTTGACTATTAGATTTTGCAGAAATGTGCTGAGCACGATTATATTTTGCAATGACGTCTCTTGTGCTCTAATAGTTTATATTTAGTAAAATAGCGCTCAGAGCGATTATATTTTGCGATGACGAAGTTGGGGGTATGTCTTGTGCTGTAATAGTTTGTATTTAGTAAAATCGCATCCGGGCATTGAGTCTTCCTGAACCCCTTTTTGATTTTTTGGTATTGAAGGCAGGGAAGATTGCTGGGCTTCTGCTTGATGCTCCTTTCAACAGTGGGTCATTTCTTGCAATCGGGAATAGTTCTTCTGTTTCTAGAATTTCTGTAGAAGTAGAACATACAGAAGCATCCTCGGAACTTTCCTCGATTGACGGATAGAGGTGGGAAACTATCGATAGTAACTATCGATATATCGATAGTTTGCTACACTATCGAACTATCGATAGTTCTACTTGGACAATCGATAGCAGTTCTCCTGTCTTTTCTTATGTCAGCAATGTCAAGTCTCAAGAAATATCATACATTTAATTTTTTATTAAGGCTCCTAAAGTTAATAGGTTGTCTGGTAATGGGTAACTTGATGACGTCATCTGGTCTGGGGTGCCTTATGGAAATTTGGAATTATGTTGAGGCACCCCAGATGACGCCATAAAAGTTATCAGAAAACCTACCATCTCTCAACCTTATTGATGTTTTTTATTTTGGCTTTGATGGTATGCTAGTTGAAATCAAAATTGAAAAAGATGAAGATTAGTAGTTATGTGTCCTGTTATCATTAGTTAACAACAACCTACACAACTCAACGACACTGTATTTCACTTCATAGTGGTGTTTATTTCTGTTCTCTGTTCTTCACTTCCAGTTTGGAGAGAAAAAGAACGTGTGTAATTAAATATATTGTTATTCACAATATTAACTTTCATGTATTGTAGGGCGTAGGCCATAGTGGTAGGGCGTAGGTCGTAGGGTTAGGGCCTTGATCTTAGACCTTCATGTGCACACTGCTGTTGGAGTTCATTAACATTACCATTTTGGCTTGCCCTGACCTGATAATTGCTGAAACCCCAAATACAAAATGACCAAAATGGGTCCAAAACCCCCTTTTTTTATCGATAGTTATATCGATACATCGATAGTTTTTAGTCGTTACTATCGATATATCGATAGTTAGATTCTTCGATAGTTTCCCACCTCTATTGACGGATTTGTATTTGTTTTAGTAGATATTTCAAAAAAATAGAGTCATTTGTTTCTCTTTTCTACCTAGGGAGGTAAGTATCGCTTTTACACCCACCAAAACAATAGTTGATTGCTAAGATTTTGACAAGCTATCATTTCGTTACGCATGAAAATAATAAGACGGAATTCTAGGACCATAAAGAACTCGATGAGACCCTTAAAAAGAGATATGACACGATCCCTATCCCATATTCAAATTTGGGGGGTTGTTTTCCCCCTAGCTAGGGGGTTGAAGCTATGGCGATGAAAAAAACTGAAAAATAGTTCCCCATCAAAAATCGATGTGTCATCCAAACGTTTTTCTAGATTCTCATCCCAAATTCAATAAATCGAGGTGGACTGTTTTCCCTGGGACACCCTGTATATAAAAACAAACAAATCCAAACCAAAACCAATGAGAGGATGTGGCTTTTTTTACAAATTCACTAGGTACCTACCCTGTCTCTGTATTTCTGATAATCAACAACGAGTACGTCAGTTGAATTCAAATTCACTGATATGCGGCGGGCTTCATCTTGAACTTTTTCAGAGCAGAAGGGAGTTGATATTGATATGATAGTTGATTTTTTATAAGGACGATAAATTACCCCAAATAACGTATGATTTGATGATCAATGGCGTGGGGAGTGGGATATTTTTTTTAAATAAATATTCGAATGGCCCACCTATCGAATACGTCATCTGGCCCACCGGGATTTTGCCCGGTTGCCCGGTGGGCCAGTCCGACACTGCATAAAACCGCTAGGAATAAAATGCATTTCATCATCCATATAACAAAAATATGCACTGTAAGAAGCAAATAATTCGAACATGACTTGCCACTTCAAGTGAAATCCTGCTAAAATTACACATTGTCCGTGAAAAAAAAAAAAGAAACGACGGCAACAATTTAAAATTTACATCAAATCCGTCACTGTCGATGATGGTAACTTTCTTCCAAGGTGGTCCGTGCGGTCAATTAGGTTGTGTATTATTACAGCATATGATTCTTAGATACAAATGAACCAGTCTGATATTTTTCCAGCAGCCTTGAATGTGTTTTAATTATTGATATTTATTTTTTCAATTCAAATTGATCATTCAGTCAAAAATAGAAACAAACTCGTACCTACCAATTTTTTATTAGAATTTATTGAATTCGTATGACAAATAACATTTAAACTATCAATCATTGGTTTTAAAAAGTGTCAGTTCCATTTAAATGCACACCAACGATTTACCATAGACAATAGTTGAGACCCCCAGACATGATCACGAGTATGTAAACTTTGTGATTTTATCAGAATTGACATCGAGTCGATTTAAAATTGTGCCGTTTGGATTTTAATTGGAGCAGAATAGAAAGTTTGCGTTAAGTTGTTAAGCTTTCCATTTGAACGAACTATAAAATTAATGATCAGAATTTATATACAGTTCGTGCATCCCAAATTTGCACAAAAATACCGTAAAAGGTACGACCACAAAAAAACATTGGCCAACCAAGAAGATTAGATCTGGCTATAACATGCAGTTCTGAAAATGTATTAATTTCCGATTAAACAAGAATTTGTCTTGGTTCTGAGGAAGCGCACGGCGGCTCCGGCATTACCATTGCATCTATGTGTCGATGCTAAAAAAATATTTCTGATCTGCTCCAAACAGCGGCAGTTTATTGTATAGTGTTTATTCCCTAAAAAACCAAGTAGGTAGGTAGGTACCACACAACAAAATCAGTCCAATATCTACCGAGAATTTCTGCGAAAATAAGGCCGAGTGTAAAGGTGGAAAATGTATTTTTCATTTTTTTATCGACTCCAAACTATGACCGAATGAGGCCCTGTTGAAAAATCAAAAATATTCGAAAGCAAAATAGTAAATTCCATTTTTGATTATTTTTTTTTGCATGATTGAGCACAATTCTCCCAACTTGAGAGATTTATAACAATATAACTACAAGTGAAATCTTTACATCTCTCCTATAAAGAGAGCCATCTTTGTTTTAATAATTGATTCTTGAAATTTTCTGATGTTTTGAGTTTTTGAGCACATTTTGAATGCACGAGACTATCATTCTATCTTGATTTAATTGAAAGATCAGGACGAGGATAAACTATTCATCATTTAGGATTATAAAACAAAAACTACAATAGTTTTCCCAACAAACTCTCAATTTATTTAATTATTTTTTCTGGATTAGTTTTTCTATAAAAATATATTTCAATATATCTACTATAATAACTACGAAACTAAAATGTATAAAAAAATTTCTTTCTGATTCACACGCAATGAAAAATATACATAATTTACAATATTTAAAATAAAAAGTTTAAGTAGCCTAACATCCCTAGGTCAATGGGAATGAGGAAATTATGATGTATTTCCGGTAATGTATAATCAACCTCATAGAATCGATTTCATATGAATATATGGACCTGTACTTATACAGTATAGATATTGATAGATACATCAATATAAATGTAAATTTGAATAATCAATTAGTTCAAAATCACGTGAAATCGATGCTAATGGATTATTAATTTGGAGCGTTTAAAAAAGTATTTTGGATAAGTACTTGAGGTGTTCTTTAAAGTAGGTACAACTATTGGCAAATTAAGTAGGCAATTGAAGTTTTTTTTAAATCAATAATGGCAGAAGAAAATGTTCGTTGGACAATTTCCCATTTCAAACAAGATAAGAATAAAACAAAAAAGAGAAAGGAAAAAAAAAAAACAACAAAAAACTAATGATATGATGTATGTACAAAACAATAATAATTAATAATAGGTACCTAATTTACAGAGCAAGAAGGCGAGCCAGTTATATTATATTTATAATCAAAAACTTGACTATATAGCCTTGATCGTTGTGTTAATAATTTAAAGCTATATACAGCGGCAAGCTCTTCTTTGGTTGTTGCTTACATTGGTGTAGAACATATTGTGCAATAGCTGAAATTAAATTAAATATATTTTACTTGAGGCATTATAAAATTATTGTAGCTTTTAGCAACTGATGATAAAATGCACTTGTAGACAATAATTATACAAATTTAGAAATAATAAGATTCAGGACCAATTCAAGATTTTAATACAATGAAAAAATAATTTAGTTGCTGCAAGAAATAAATCAACAGAGAGTTACAATTATACCTATACTACTGAGCGTAATCCTTAGAAGGCAATACAAGAAACTAATCTCACCATACCAGCTATAATTCCATTCTGTTAGGAGCATTTTTTATTTTTTATGGTATAAACGAGTATAGGTAGAGCCTCAATACACTAGAAGAAAAAATTCCCAGAATATCATTCAAACATTTGTCACGTTAAAAAAAAAAAAAAAAAAACATTTTTATAAATCTTTAACAATAATATCACAGTCTAAGGAAACATCAACAAATACTGAATGATCAATCGAGGTAGATGCTATTCTATTTAAAATACTAGCACTATAATGTCCAAAACACCAATAAACTTCCTAAAACTATAACAAAAGACACACTGATTGTACTACAACTACTAGTCACTATAACCTCATTATTATCCAATTGAACTTTTGGTCTAGTAACATTATAGTGATGGTGCACGTTATTAAAACAAAGCTTATCCATATTTCTTTGAATAGTGTGACAATCGTAGTCCTCTGAACCATCACAATAACACATTTTCAATTTTTGTGCTTTTTCTTGTCGTCTTAATATACTTATAGAATTGTGACATTTGGGGGTGCATTTTTTGCCGTGAAACATGGCTTTACAGTAACGTTGGTAGTATTCAAATGCCATGGAACATTGGGCGTCAGCATTACAAATCCATTGGGCAATTCGACAGGGAACTACTGGTTCGTTGATGGTTTTCAGCACCTGGGGCTTACAGACGTCGGTCCGTTGTTTTTGGTCTTCGCAGTACGGATCGCTGCAGTCGCACTGAAAAAAAAGGACGATTATTAGATTTGTCGCTGCAATAGGGTTTTGAATGGAAAATGTCGTTTATCAAATTTTTGGACGAAATCCAAACTCAACTCGTTCTGAAGTTAATGTCGTGTTGCCGTTGAGAGATAAATGGGACAAAGTAGCGGGAACCTCTTTGTCTCGTATGTTGTTTATTACACGAAGTAGGAGTTCCTGTTCTTTATTTGTTTAATGAACCAGCTGCGAGGACGGATTTACTTTTTTGATGATGCTTTATGTACTGAAATTTGTTTGAATTAAGGATATATAAAAAATCTCTAATATATGGCAAATAAATAACATGTTTTACAAAAGTGTATCATCGAAAGTGGTTGGAAAATGTTCTTCTTTTTGAAATATAACCTTCAATATGTAATTTTGTACAACATTAAGAGGTTTGAGTGCACTAACATAGAGACCATCCCACACGACTATGGCGTACTGTAAGATGGATTCAATCAGTGCTTTATAGATTGTTACAATTTGTTCACAAATTTACGGAGCTCCTAAAATTTGTAGACCAGCCTTCTTGTTTCAACAGCTAAGCTATTTACATGATTGGACCACTTCAAATTCCTGTCAGCTATCACACCCAAGTATTTAATGTTATCAACTTCATTAATAATTATACTTTTGCGAAGGTCGTTATTAGACTTATTGGTCGAAAATTGCTAATTTCAGTTTTGTTTCCGGCTTTGTAAATTAGAACTACTATTGGATCTTTCGAAATCATTTGGAACACTTCCTTGCAGAAAGATTAGGTTTATGATATGTGTGAGAGGATCAAGGACATGCAAGTGATGATCTTTTATTAGTTTTGCACCAACATTGTCATACCCGGGAGAACTGTTGTTTTTAAGTGATGCTATATGCAAAATGAGTTCGTTAATAGGTACATTAAGAAACATGCTTCGACTGACACAAGGGTATTGTAGTTTCTGCAATTGGTAGGCGATTGTATTTTGGTTGCCATATTTGTTGTCCTATCTGGACAAAATAGTCATTACAGAAGTGCGCCATCTGTTTTGTGTTTTCAAACTGTTTATTGTTATTGACAAGGATGTTAATTTCACTGTTTTTATTTGTGTTTGAGTTTGTCGCTTCATTTATTATATCATATAATTTTTTCATATCATTTTTGTTGTCATTTAATATTTCACGGTAATATCTGGCTTTGGCATCATTTATATTGTTCTTTAAATTATTTCTATATATTTTGTATCTCTGAATAAGTGCCCCATCATTTCCATTCCTTATTAATTTTTTCATTAGGTGATCATTATTTTTTTAGAGGTTATATTTGCATTTGTAGTCCAAGGTTTAGTTTTGACGTGATTCTGCAGTTTTATAACCTTTGTTCTACATTTATCATACATTTCGGTGAAAATGGTGTGAAATACGTTCCATGCTGTGTCTGCCTCATTTTCTGCCAGGACAGGAATTCAAGACTCTTGACTGATTAAGTTTTTAAATTTTATATTGTCAAATAGTTTTTTCCATGGCTAGTGGTTTGTCTTGGTTTTTATTACATATTTGTAAATATGTAGATAGGGTAGATAGATCTGTTATATCATGGTTTATCACAGCAGAATATAAGTTCAAGTTGAGATAGTTCAGGTTTTGTTTGACAAAAATGTGGTTTATGCAGGACTTGGTGTCTGCTGTGACTCTAGTGAAAGTATTTATACATAATAAATTGTGAAATCCTCATTTTGAATGTTTTCTAAGAAATTTTCAAGATCCAGCACATGAGAAAGTGGTGTTACCTACTGTGTGTTTAATATCAAAATGTATCCTGTTATTTATGCAAATGAGAAGTCCATCATTTTGGTTGGAATACTATTATTAAAAGAAGTAGTAAAACCAGGAATGTTAAATTGGCTTGGTAAAAAATTGTTTCTGGTTTTTCCCAATATTAAAATGTCAGTTGTTTTGGAGGTCACAGGCTTGCAAAAATATCAAAATTCAAGTGTCTGGGAGCACTACACACATTAAAATGTAAAATGTCCAGAATTTTTTTGTTAGATTTAATTTTGGCCCTAAACTCATTTACTTCAATAATTATTTGCTACAGTTCCAAGTCAGTTTTTGTCTCTACTGAATCGAGAATATTGGCAAAATCCATAAAGGAAGAAAAATAAATATAACTAGAGTACAGAAAAGCAATAATAATATATTATATGCGGAGGTGGAAAGTGTTTCATCATTGTCGAGAGATACTAAGGTTGACCGAGGTGCGAAGCGCCGAGGTCAACCAATTCTCCAGACAATATGTGAAAACGTTTCACCGAAATATGTAGGTATACTATTTTATTTTGAACCATTAATTATTGAAAAAAAATAGGAGAAAATATGACAAAAATGGAATTTCGACTGACATCACAAACTGACACTCTGACACCGCGTTGACATCTTATGGAATTTCAACAATATAAACACATGCAATGAACTAAACAAACACACTGGAACGGTGGATGCGTAATTGTTTCTACGTAAGGGTATGTGCCAGGAAGGGCAACAAACAAGAGGGATTTGCATCTCTCTCTGCACTATGGCAGCTATTGAGAAACGCTGTTTGAAGTGCTTGGATCATTGATGTCAGGAAGATGAAGAAGCTCTTCTTTCTTTTACATTAATCGCAATGAGTGCGAGCGAGACAATAATCCCTCCGTATTGCTGGGTTGCATACATCCAAATTCGCCTCACTAGGAAGCAGTGCGCCCGTTCCAGAGAGTTTGTTTAGTTCAATGAACACATGTGACAGCTAATTTTGGTTCTAAGGGTGAATTCTCATGAGCGTAAGTTGACATTTCTGGCGTAATCACGTGATAAAATGGTTGGGTTTTATTGGAGACATATTTGACATGTTGGATATTTTACCAATCAAATTACACCATATTATCACGTGATTACGCCAGAAATGTCAACTTACGCTCATGAGAATTCGCCATAAATAGAAATATATTATTGAATGACTACTGCTTAGGGCGGGTATTATAAAACTACTTTGAGAGTTAACTTAAAGTTAACTTCTAGAATAACATGTAATTCAAAAAGTTAACTTCAAGTTAACTGTCAAAGCAGTTTTATAATACCCACCCTTAGAGTAGTAGTCTATAGAGGTTTTATATCTCTGCGGAAAGTATTTGTATGTAGGACAGTCTAAGGAAAAAGCTTCATGCTCTGTGTTTTGTGGTTTCAGCATTTTTTTAAAGTTTTTGGACAATTCTCAGATTTGTGGTCTAAATTACAGTAAGTATAAGCAAGTTTATTCTTACATTCTATGTCTTTATGATCATAACATGCAAAATATTTTTTACATCTCCGAATTTTAGTGTCCTCGTAGACTGGACATCGTTCCTATGATAAAAACACCATTTCATAGGCCATTAGTCTCCGAAAAAGGTCTCCAGAGCATTCACCAAAGAGGATGCTTTTGTTGTTTTAGGCATTTGTGATATCTTTCATGCTCATGTTTGTTGTTGATTTTTCCTCAGTTGCGGTAGCTGTACTATGTATACTTTTCCTCTGTGTCTTGTTCTTGTGTAGTAAGTAGCAATTTTTGATTTTCTTGTTGTTCGCTGTTACAGTTTATTATAACAACTCCATTTCTCGAAGTCTTCACCGATTTGATACTCACATTTACCTGGCCCGGATTAATTTTTGATTGCAGTTCTATTTTTTTAATTTCCGCATCTTGTTGGTTATGTGGCTTAATAAACACCGGAGGAACATTTTTAGGAGTATGAAATCTGGAAGGCCGTGGTAGTAATAGCATAAGGCATAAGATTTAGTACTTTCTCGCTTCTTTATTTGTTCTTGCAACATATCTATTATTATTTGTTTATCATTGATAAAATTTTGGGTGTCCAAGATTCGATGGTTTTGGCGGGTTTCGAATATTTCTAGAGGAGTTGGAAAAAATCTGACCCCACTTGCGAGCCTCGATTTTCAAGAAAAGTTGACCGGTGTAACCCGCATCTCGATATTCCGATTCGTTTTTAAGCTACAAGGGGAAAAGTTGACCAAATGTTCATGAATAAAAAACTTATAAACTCTCTGCCGAAATACCCAAAATCTCCCAAAACCATCGAATCTTGGACACCCTGTACATGCATTGCAATCTAGTAATATACCATAATTTTGGAGTCTACATTATCCAGCCATCTCAAACAACCCAGAGTTGAATCAATGTTTTGTATATCGTTCACGCATTGTAAAAAAATAGATATCAGAAGGAGACAAGGACAGGATAGAGCCATTAGTGAATAAACAATAAACCTTAGAGCAGATGAAGCGCCGTCCTCATCAGGAATGGGAAAGCATAATTTTGCTATCCATTTCTGGTAACCAAATAGGTAGGTAGATAATTCATTGTTCTGGCTCTCCCAACATTAATCATGTAAGCAAGAAGCCGCCATCACTCGCTTCCTCATGCTCGAACTTTTGTCTCTACCTGCTCTGAGCAACACTGTGTTCCTTGTTCAGCATAGGGGCATCGAGTATTCTTGCTTTACATTCACTGTCATGCAATCTTCTTCTAATGGCGATATACTTGGATTTTATACTATAAGCACGAAGTCTTGGAGAACGTGCGATTCATTTTAGAGAGATGAACCAGGAAACATTTAGAAGATCGTTGACCATGATCATCCCATATTATGCTAGCATTCCCAGATTTCTTGAAGTGATTCCAATTACACTCAACTAACCCCACCGTGGCATTTTGCAAGAATGCAACAAGCATCAACATTCTCACTGAATAGTCTGCTAATGATGTGATGTTAATTCCCTTTTTGGAGGGAAAAACTTTTGACAAACACCACTACAAGTTCAGTATCAAATTAAAGTTACTATTCGACAAAAAATAATATTCTTAAGACCTGCGCCAATTACGAATAGCCAGAAACACAGCTGTAAATCAAATGCAGTTAAACAAAGATGAACAGCAAAAACGGTCTCAAACTTTTTTTGAC